TATGTGTTTTGGCAGGGAGTGGTTAGACGATATTCAAATGGGCAGCATGTACTGATGGCTGCTTCCCCGCAAAAGCCCCCTGGCTTGATGGCAGGAAAATAGACAGATTCCCCCTCACACAACCACTGCAGCCCCTGGGCACAACCCCAGCACTGCAAAAGGGTGAAGTGGTCCCTACAGTGTTCCCAGGTGCAGGGATGTTCATGACACTACATTGCCCCCTGCGGATATGGGAACATTCGGGGTGGGCGGGGGGAAGGATGAGGGAATAATTGGAATCCTCTGCCATTCTGAGTTGCAGAGCAGCCCATAGGCAGCTGTGAAGAGGCTGCCATAAGTTAGAGCAGCCCCTAGGTAGCTCGAAGGCATGGGTGGGCAAACTTTTTGACCACAGCACGGTTGCCAAACTTTATGGAGGGATGGAAAGGCTGTGCCTCCCCAAACAGCCTGGACCCTGCCCCCTAGCTGCCCCCTCCCACTTCCCGCCCCTGATTGCCCCCCCTCAGAACTCCCAACCCATCCTACCAGCCCCTGCTCCTTGTCCCCTGATCACTCCCTCCCAGGACCCCTGCCCCAGGACCCCCCCCCGCCCGCTCCCTGTCCCCTCACTGCCCCAACCCCTATCCACACTCCTGCCCCTATCCAAACCCCCTGCTCCCTGTCCCAACCGCCCCCCCTCCCAGGAACCTCAGCCCCATTCCTGCTCCCTGTCCCCTGACTGCCCCCCAAGACCTCCTGCCCCTTATCCAACTCCCCCCCATCCCCTTACCATGCTGCTCAGAGCAGCAGGAGCTCGCAGCCTTGCTGCATGGCCAGAGCCAGCCGCGCTGCCCGGCAGGAGCATCGGGCCAGAGCGCTGGCAGCGCAGCGAGTTGAGGCTGCGGGGGAGAGGCTGGGGGCAACCCTCCTCTGGCACTACATTAGCCTGGAAAAAGGCTAATGTAGTGCCAATCTTTAAAAAAGGGAAGGAGGAGGATCCTGGGAACTACAGGCCAGTCAGCCTCACTTCAGTCCCTGGAAAAATCATGGAGCAGGTCCTCAAAGAATCAATCCTGAAGCACTTGCATGAGAGGCAAGTGATCAGGAACAGCCAGCATGGATTCACCAAGGGAAGGTCATGCCTGACTAATCTAATCGCCTTCTATGATGAGATTACTGGTTCTGTGGATGAAGGGAAAGCAGTGGATGTATTGTTTCTTGACTTTAGCAAAGCTTTTGACACGGTCTCCCACAGTATTCTTGTCAGCAAGTTAAGGAAGTATGGGCTGGATGAATGCACTACAAGGTGGGTAGAAAGCTGGCTAGATTGTCGGGCTCAACGGGTAGTGATCAATGGCTCCATGTCTAGTTGGCAGCCGGTATCAAGTGGAGTGCCCCAAGGGTCGGTCCTGGGGCCGGTTTTGTTCAATATCTTCATAAATGATCTGGAGGATGGTGTGGATTGCACTCTCAGCAAATTTGCGGATGATACTAAACTGGGAGGAGTGGTAGATACGCTGGAGGGGAGGGATAGGATACAGAAGGACCTAGACAAATTGGAGGATTGGGCCAAAAGAAATCTGATGAGGTTCAATAAGGATAAGTGCAGGGTCCTGCACTTAGGACGGAAGAACCCAATGCACAGCTACAGACTAGGGACCGAATGGCTAGGCAGCAGTTCTGCGGAAAAGGACCTAGGGGTGACAGTGGACGAGAAGCTGGATATGAGTCAGCAGTGTGCCCTTGTTGCCAAGAAGGCCAATGGCATTTTGGGATGTATAAGTAGGGGCATAGCGAGCAGATCGAGGGACGTGATCGTTCCCCTCTATTCGACATTGGTGAGGCCTCATCTGGAGTACTGTGTCCAGTTTTGGGCCCCACACTTCAAGAAGGATGTGGATAAATTGGAGAGAGTCCAGCGAAGGGCAACAAAAATGATTAGGGGTCTGGAACACATGAGTTATGAGGAGAGGCTGAGGGAGCTGGGATTGTTTAGCCTGCAGAAGAGAAGAATGAGGGGGATTTGATAGCTGCTTTCAACTACCTGAAAGGGGGTTCCAAAGAGGATGGCTCTAGACTGTTCTCAATGGTAGCAGATGACAGAACGAGGAGTAATGGTCTCAAGCTGCAGTGGGGGAGGTTTAGATTGGATATTAGGAAAAACTTTTTCACTATGAGGGTGGTGAAACACTGGAATGCGTTACCTAGGGAGGTGGTAGAATCTCCTTCCTTAGAGGTTTTTAAGGTCAGGCTTGACAAAGCCCTGGCTGGGATGATTTAACTGGGAATTGGTCCTGCTTTGAGCAGGGGGTTGGACTAGATGACCTTCTGGGGTCCCTTCCAACCCTTATATTCTATGATTCTATGATTCTCCCCGGCCAGGGGCTCACAGGCTGGGCAGGACGGTCCTGGGGGCGGGATGTGGCCGGCAAGCCATAGTTTGCCCACCTCTGCTCTAAGGATATGTCTATGCTGCCGAGTTAGCCCAGGTGATTGGCACCCAGGTTATCCTGGGCTGAATGAGAGCAGCCACACTGCACAGCCCTGCCTGAGTTACTGGGCCCGCACTGGTGCTGCGCCCCCGTTTGTGGGGCACCTCCCATAGTGCTCAGGGCTGCACTGAGCTGAGCCAATTTATGATTCTTCTCCAGTGAGTTGTAAGAGAACTTGTCTGTCCTTCTGGGCGCACGGGGGGAATTGTGGGAAGGCACTGGAGGACACTCAGCTCTCGAGTGATTTAGCCTGTGTCCTCACAGTGAAAGCAACACCCAGGCTCCAATAACCCACCCCAGCTGGGCCAGCTGGCCTGGGTTCAAAGCTCCCCCACACTTGGGCCAGAGGGCTTTGGGTATGGACAGCAGGCAGCTTCTTGGGGCAACACCCACGTAAGACCTCAGGTTAACTCTGCAGTGAAGACATACCCTGACTTACACCAGGAGTCACACTGACCCCCCAGAGCAGCCCAGAATCAGGAGGCAGAAAGGTGGCAGTCTCTCTCCTTTGCTCCTGAAAGGCACCGTATGTACTCTGGCCGCTGGTTTTGGGGAGCAAGGGTGGATCTGGGTACATTCACAGGTAAGGAACCCACATTGCTCTGAACAGAGTGCATACTCTCTACAGTCCAAACTTACCCTCTTGGTCACTCTGATAACGGCGCAACAGAAACTTCAGCCTAAACTTCCTCCCAATTTAGCTCTTCCTAAAGTTTTCCCATGCATGGTCCAGATCATAATTCCCTCTGGTCTCGAGAAACACCCTGACCGCTTAATAGCCTGGCTGGAGTGAACAGAATCCACCAGCTGCTATGACTCAGTGCTGATACTTCAAGCATCTGATAACAGGATGACTCAGCAGCAAATCCATTTTTGTACAGAAGCACCTGGTGCGGATACTGCTGGAAATGGGGCCTCATATTTCAATATCCTTAAAAATGCGTGGGAGATCCTTGTCCTCAGTGAAGTGAGTGACTAAGAGAATTAACCATAGTGTGAGTCCTTCCACTTAGAGTGGTTTCTGTGACAAAGAAAAACCTATGATCTTAGCTCTAAATATATATCTTAGCTTTGCTATGGCTCCCATCACTACAGTCGCTGACAAGTGTTACATTAATGTATGACAACACCCCAGTGAGGCAGGGATGTCTTCTTAGCCCCAATTTTCAGGCAGGAGTCTAGGGCAGAGAGGAATACAATTTCCAAGTCACGCAGGCCTAGACCGTCAAGTGGCCAGCACCTTCCCTTTGAAACACTGGAATGCGTTACCTAGGGAGGTGGTAGAATCTCCTTCCTTAGAGGTTTTTAAGGTCAGGCTTGACAAAGCCCTGGCTGGGATGATTTAACTGGGAATTGGTCCTGCTTTGAGCAGGGGGTTGGACTAGATGACCTTCTGGGGTCCCTTCCAACCCTGATATTCTATGATTCCCCTGAAATCTGATTTTTCAAAAGATCTCAACTCCAGAGCTGGTTGGGAAATCAGATCTGTTCCCATGAAAATTTTCAGCAAGCCCAGGAAAGTTTTCCTCCAAAGTTTTGGGGTTTTAATAAAATTGTTTTTCAGTTGCCAAAAGCGTTGCTTTGGGGGTGGGTGGGTGGAGCCGATTACACACTCACTGCCACAGCACCTCCTGCTGGTCATCTGGGAATTAAATCATAGAATATCAGGGTTGGAAGGGACCCCAGAAGGTCATCTAGTCCAACCCCCTGCTCGAAGCAGGACCAATTCCCAGTTAAATCATCCCAGCCAGGGCTTTGGAATTAGCTCCATTCCAGCACTTAGAGCACCCCCTGTTGGGCAGTGTCTCTTCTGCCTCAGGTCCCCCATGTCCCTCCCAAACCCCAGTGCCCTTCACCTTGGGGTTCTGCCCACAGCAGTACCCCCACTCTCTGAGTCTCCCCTACCAGGGGAACCTCCAACCCACTATGTCCCCCTTGCCCCAATGGCTACTGCCAGTCATCATCTAGCCCCCTTTCAGACTGTGGTCTGAAATTGCCACTCATCATTGGCAAGGGGGCTGGCCTGGCCCAACCCAACTCCCTGCAACCCCAGTACCTCCTTTGGCCTTCAGCAAAGCCTTAGCCTGGGGACACACCTGGCCAGAGCTCCCCAGCTCTGCCTCCCTTCCCCAGCACTGCTCTGCTTCAGGTACCCTGTGCTCCCAGACAGCTTGGTCCTCCCCATGCCAAGTCAGGAGTGAGACTGCCTGTCTCCTAGCTCACAGCCCCTCTTATCAGGGCCAGCTGTGCCCTGACTGAGCCGGCCACACCTGTGACCAGCTACCCAGCCAGCCTCCCTCAGCTGCTCTTAATTGGGTCCCAGCCACAGCCCTCTCCAAGGGCTGCTTTTAACCCCTGCTCTCCGGGAGTGGGGCAGTCACCCCATTACAGTGGGGTTTTTTTTTGTTTGTTTGTTTTGTTTTTTTCAACCAAAACTTGGTGGGGGGGAAGAAGAGGAAATGTCTGTTTTTGGGAAAAACATTTTGAATGAAAACAATTCCACCAGCTTTGTTCACCTTTTCTGTGCAGGCACCTAACTAAGGGCAGGCTTCTCTGAAGAGCTCAAGATCCCAGCGTTGCTCAGCTCTCATAAAAGTCTGGCTAAAGATTTGCCCAAGGTCACACAAGAAGTTTATGGCAGCTCTGCGAATTGAACCTAGAGCTCCTGTGTCCCACCCTTCGCCACAGGGCTTGCACAAGGAAGCATACGATGGCTGAATTTCACCCACGAATCCCATAGCATCTTAAGGAGTCAGGAATTGACTTACAACCTGTTTTTAATGGTGTAAAGAGGGGGAACAAAGCTTTTCAACATTCCCCATCCCTTCCTCCTGCATCTTCCAATTCAACGGTGGAGGAAGAGCTCTTAGCCCTGGTCTACACTAGGAGTTGAGGTTGACTTTAATAGCGTTAAATTGATTTAACCCTGCACCCGTCCATATGACGAAGCCCTTTTTTTCAACTTAAAGGGCTCTTAAAATCGATTTCTTTACTCCACCCCCAACAAGGGGATTAGCGCTGAAATCGGCCTTGCCGGGTCAAATTTGGGGACTGTGGACACAATTAGACAGTATTGGCCTCTGGGGGGAGCTATCCCGGAGCACTCCATTGTGACTGCTCTGGACAGCACTCTCAACTCAGATGCACTGGCCAGGTAGACAGGAAAAGGCCCGTGAACTTTTGAATTTCATTTCCTGTTTGGCCAGCGTGGCAAGCTGCAGGTGAGTGCAGAGCTCATCAGCAGAGGTGACCATGCAGAGCTCATCAGCAGAGGTGACCATGATGGAGTCCCAGAATCGCAAAAGAGCTCCAGCATGGACCTAATGGGAGGTATGGGATCTGATCGCTGTATGGGGAGAGGAATCCGTGCTATCAGAACTCCGTTCCAATTTTCGAAATGCCAAAATATTTGTCAAAATCTCCCAGGGCATGAAGGACAGAGGCCATAAGAGGGACCCAAAGCAGTGCCGCATGAAACTTAAGGAGCTGAGGCAAGCCTACCAGAAAACCAGAGAGGCAAGCGGCCGCTTCGGGTCAGAGCCCCAAACATGCCGCTTCTATGATGAGCTGCATGCCATTTTAGGGGGTTCAGCCACCACTACCCCAACCGTGTGCTTTGACTCCTTCAACGGAGAGGGAGGCAACATGGAAGCAGGTTTGGGGAAAGAGGAAGATGATGATGATGAGGTTCTAGATAGCTCACAGCAAGCAAGCGGAGAAACCAGTTTTCCCGACAGCCAGGAACTGTTTCTCACCCAGGACCTGGAGCCAGTACCCCCCGAACCCACCCAAGGCTGCCTCCCGGACCTGCCAGGAGGAGAAGGGACCTCTGGTGAGTGTACCTTTTTAAATAGTATACATGGTTTAAAAGCAAGCGTGTTTAATGATTAATTTGCCCTGGCATTCGCGGCCAGTACAGCTACTGGAAAAGTCTGTTAACGTGTCTGGGGATGGAACAGAAATCCTCCAGGGACATCTCCATAAAGCTCTCCTGGATGTACTCCCAAAGCCTTTGCAAAAGATTTCTGGGGAGGACTGCTTTATTCCGTCCACCATGGTAGGACATTTTACCACGCCAGGCCAGTAGCACGTACTCGGGAATCATTGCAGAATAAAGCATTGCAGTGTATGTTTGCTGGTGTTCAAACAACATCTGTTCTTTATCTCTCTGTGTTATCCTCAGGAGAGTGATATCATTCATGGTCACCTGGTTGAAATACGGTACTTTTCTTAAGGGGACATTCAGAGGTGTCCATTCCTGCTGGGCTGTTTGCCTGTGGCTGAACAGAAGTGTTCCCCACTGTTAGCCACGGGGAGGAGGGAGGGGTTAGCCATGTGGTGGGGGGAGGCAAAATGCGACCTTGTAACGAAAGCACATGTGCTATATATGTAATGTTAACAGCAAGGTTTACCCTGAAAGAGTGTGCCCATTGTTCTATAAAATGTGTCTTTTTAAATACCACTGTCCCTTTTTTTCTCCACTAGCTGCAAGTGTTTCAAGGATCACAGGATCTTCTCCTTCCCAGAGGCTAGCGAAGATTAGTAGACGAAAAAAACGCACTTGCGATGAAATGTTCTCTGAGCTCATGCTGTCCTCCCACACTGATAGAGCACAGATGAATGCATGGAGGCAGACAATGTCAGAGTGCAGGAAAGCACAAAATGACCGGGAGGACAGGTGGCAGGCTGAAGAGAGGGCTGAAGATGATAGGTGGCAGCAGCATGATGAGAGGAGGCAGGATTCAATGATGAGGCTGCTGGAGGATCAAACTAATATGCTCCAGCGTATGGTTGAGCTGCAGGAAAGGCAAGAGCACAGACCACCGCTACAGCCCCTGTGTAACCAACCGCCCTCCTCCCCAAGTTCCATAGCCTCCTCACCCAGACACCCAAGAACGTGGTGGGGGCGCCTCCGGCCACCCAGCCACTCCACCCCAGAGGATTGCCCAGGCAACAGAAGGCTGGCATTCAATAAGTTTTAAAGTTTTAAACTTTTAAAGTGCTGTGTGGGCCTTGTCCTTCTCTCCTCCACCATCCCTCCCAGGCTACCTTGGCAGTTATTTGTGTGATGAATTAATAAAGAATGCATGAATGTGAAGCAACAATGACTGTATTGCCTCTGCAAGTGGTGATCGAAGGGGGGAGGGGAGGGTGGTTAGCTTACAGAGAAGTAGAGTGAACCAAGGGGTGGGGGGTTTCCATCAAGGAGAAACAAAACAGAACTTTCACACCGTAGCCTGGCCAGTCATGAAACTGGTCTTCAAAGCTTCTCTGATGCACGCCACGCGCTCCTGTGCTCTTCTAACCGCCCTGGTGTCTGGCTGCGCGTAACCAGCAGCCAGGCAATTTGCCTCAACCTCCCACCCTGCCATAAACATCTCCCCCTTACTCTCACAGATATTGTGGAGCGCACAACAAGCAGTAATAACAATGGGAATATGCTGAAGTCTAAGCGAGTCAGTAAACTGCGCCAGCGCGCTTTTAAATGTCCAAATGCACATTCTACCACCATTCTGCACTTGCTCAGCCTGTAGCTGAATCTACTGTCCAGGCTGCCTGTGTACGGCTTCATAAGCCATGGCATTAAGGGGTAGGCTGGGTCCCCAAGGATAATTATAGACATTTCAACATCCCCAACGGTTATTTTCTGGTCTGGGAATAAAGTCCCTTTCTGAAGCTTTTGAAACAGACCAGAGTTCCTGAAGACGTGAGTGTCATGTACCTTTCCCAGCCATCCCAAGTTGATGTTGGTGAAACGTCCCTTGTGATCCACCAGTGCTTGAAGCACTATTGAAAAATACCCCTTGCGGTTTATGTACTCGCCGGCTTGGTGCTCTGATGCCAAGATAGGGATATGGGTTCCGTCTACGGCCCCACCACAGTTAGGAAATCCCATTGCAGCAAAGCCATCCACTATGACCTGCACATTTTCCAGGGTCGCTACCCTTGATATCAGCAGATCTTTGATTGCGTGGGCTACTTGCATCACAGCAGCCCCCACAGTAGATTTGCCCACTCCAAATTGATTCCTGACTGACCGGTAGCTGTCTGGTGTTGCAAGCTTCCAGAGGGCTATTGCCACTTGCTTCTCAACTGTGAAAGCTGCTCTCATCTTGGAATTCTTGCACCTCAGGGCAGGGGAAAGCAAGTCACAAAGTTCCATGAAAGTGCCCTTACGCATGCGAAAGTTTCGGAGCCACTGGGAATCATCCCAGACCTACAACACTATGTGGTCCCACCAGTCTGTGCTTGTTTCCCGGGCCCAGAATCGGCGTTCCACCTCATGAACCTGCCCCATTAGCACCATGATGCCCATATTGCCAGGGCCCATGCTTTAAGAAAAGTCTGTGTCCATGTCTTCATCACTCACGTCACCGCGCTGACGTTGCCTACTCGCCCAGTTTCGCTTTGCCAGGTTCCGGTGCTGCATATACTGCTGGATAATGCGCGTGGTGTTTAATGTGCTCCTAATTGTCAAAGTGATCTGAGCGGGCTCCATGCTTGCCGTGGTGTGGCATCTGCACAGAAAAAAGACGCGGAATGATTGTCTGCCATTGCTCTGACAGAGGGAGGGGTGACTGACAACATGGCTTACAGGGAATTAAAATCAACAAAGGGGGTGGCTTTACATCAAGGAGAAACAAAAACAATTGTCACACAGAATGGCCTCCTCAAGGATTGAACTCAAAACCCTAGGTTTAGCAGGCCAATGCTCAACCCACTGAGCTATCCCTCTCCCCCTAGTCCAGGCAGGACTGAATCGCCATTAAACTTTTCAAGGTGCCCTGACATACCTCACCAAAATGATTGTCAGCCATTGATTTCACAGAGGGAGGGATGGGGGAGCAAATGAATACAAAATAAATCTGGTGTATTTCTTGTTTTGATCCTCTCCATCTATCTTTTACATCTTTGGCTGGCAGCAGATGGTGCAGTAGGACTGCAAGCCATCCTCATCTCCTGGCTGCTCGGCAGAAGATGGTGCAATAGGACTGCCGGCAGGACTAAAGAGAATGACCTGGTCGAGTCACTCCTATTTCAGTTCCTGCGCCCATGTCTGTCCAGGCGCTCCTGACTGACCTTACCAAGGCGGCCAGGAGCAACTCGGACATGATGACGATGGTTATCAGGCCTATTGCACCATTTGCTGCCACAAGGCAATGGGTTGCTGCTGCTGTGTAGCAATGCAGTACCGCATCTGCCAGCACCCAGGAGACGTACGGTGACAGTGAGCTGAGCAGGCTCCATGCTTGCCATGGTATGGTGTCTGCACAGGTAACTCAGGAAAAAAGGCGTGAAACAATTGTCTGCCGTTGCTTTCATGGAGGGAAGGAGGGAGGGAGGGCCTGATGACATGTACCCAGAACCACCCACGACAATGTTTTAGCCCCATCAGGCATTGGGATCTCAACCCAGAATTCCAATGGGCAGCGGAGACTGCAGGAACTGTGGGATAGCTATCCACAGTGCAACGCTCTGGAAGTCGACACTAGCCTCGGTACTGTGGAAGCACTCCGCCGAGTTAATGCACTTAATGCACTTAGAGCACTTTGTGTGGGGGCACACACACTCAAATATATAAAACCGATTTCTAAAAATTTGACCTAATTTTGTAGTGTAGACATACCCTTAGATTTGTGCCAGTACAAATAGTCCATATTAACAGGGTGTGTTGAAAATGATGGAATGACATCTTAAATCAGTCTCTCTCTCTTGTTAGAAGGAACACAGGGTTTGCTGCCAATGTAACCCCACACCCACTCCATGCACTGCTGTGAGCCACATTTAGAGGTTGCTGAAGCAGCCACAGGCTTAGGTCTTTCAGCTCAAGTAGCAAAGGCTCATGCAGAGGTCCCAGGTTTAATCCCAGTTAAGGATGACCCAGCAAGGGGCACAGTTATGCCGAGCTGCAGCTGGTGTTTCCTTTTATTTATCCCAGAGTCTCTTTCAGTTCCAGCATCACGGAATGGCCCACAGTACGCAAACCTTGCTGAATCTGGGGGATTCTCCCAGGACACAAATCCAGGCGAGTTTTGCCTAGTTTGGGCATTTGTGACCAAGCTTTCCACAGGGAATAGACTCAAGAAGACGGAACAAGAGATCTGTTAATGGGCTGAGGCGTTTATTATTATTTGAATTATCCTAGTGCCCAGAGGCCCCGGCTGAGATTGCAGCCCCTCTGTGATAAGTGCTGACCAAACATATCATAAATGAAGAGTCCCTGTCCCGAACGTTTCCAGTCTAACCAAACAAGAGGAAGGCTCAGCTGCTCAAATGTAGGCGCCAAATTGCTGTTGAGAGCCTGGGTCAGAGAGGTTAAGCGAGGTGCTGACGATCGCATGGCAGGCCAGTGCCAGAGCAGGGAATAAAAGCCAGGTCCCCTCCTTTCCAATCCAATCTCGATCACCCTGGCTCTCTCCTGTCTAATGGCCAGGGTGTGGATCCGGACAACATATAGGCAGAGGAACGAAGACTGGTGAGCTCACAGGCCAGCGCTGCATGTTTCAGTTCACGTATGCAGCTGAAACGCAAACTGCTCTTCCTGGAGGAGCTTAAGTTATGGTGGCATTTAAAAATAAAATGAATAACAAATGGCACTACGGGCATCTCCGAGCTGCTGTTTGGCTGGCGAAACACGGCGCTATGTAAGCAGGGCAATAAATCAGGCAGTCCAGCGACCTGAGGACTTGGCATTTTCTCAAAGAAGTGCCTGGTGCCGCCTGATAAACAGCATCAGCTTAATCAAAACCAGGACTGGCCTGAGGCATCGAGGAAAGCAAGCGGACTCAGGGGCTGCTTCCTTCTCCACCAGCCCGGTCTACGTCCAACCAGGCTCGCCAGTCTGCAGCTGGTCCTATGGCCTGCTCTGGGCTCCAGGGCTTCCACCCTTTCGGTCCAGGTGAAAAGGATCCAAAGTACAGTCAAATGAGCCTGGGCCTTGCTCAGTTAGACCCCGATGCAGCAAAGCCCATGATCCAAAGCCCCCTGAAGAAATTGTAGGGCCCAGTGCCAGCCGTGGGAAGCAAGAGTGAGATGCTCAGCATACTGAAGTAGCATTTCCAGCAGTACTTGTGGCACCTTAGAGACTAACCAATTTATTTTGGTTAGTCTCTAAGGTGCCACGAATCCTCCTTTTCTTTTTGCGAATACGGACTAACACGGCTGTTACTCTGAAACCTGTCATTTCCAGCAGTGGAACTCAAAGCACTTTACAGACTCAGCGAGGCAAAGTGACTTGCTCAAGGTCAGATTGGGAGGCACTGGCAGAGCTGGTCCCCTGACGCCCATTCCTTCTTCCGGTCCATTGCACCACACTGCCTCTACTGAAGCCAGTGCATTTACACCCGGGGTCAATTTGGCCCACTGACCACGCTGTGGTCACCCCCTTGTACCAGGGCAGAATCTATCCACCTTGCGTACAGGGTATGCCGCACTGATCCATTACCGACCGGCCCGGCTCTGTGCGGGAATAAATATATACAGTATTGTGTTGATTTCTTTTTTTCAGCTGTTTCATTGACGAGATGACTCATGGGCTGTTAATGCTCATGATGTGCTCTGACTTCCACCTCAGCTGCAGAGCAGGAATGTGGCTTCCGAAAGGGATGCAAAGAGGGTGTGTGGGTTGTGTGTGGTGGGGGCAAGGAGGGGTGATATGTGAGCCTTCCTTTGTCCAAATCCACCTTCCAGGTGCAGCCGATCACCCCTTTCTTCTCTGCCCCCAGGTCTGGAGGAGCTCTGCCAAGGTCCAATCAATGTCTCATTGTGAGGGAAAGAGAAGAAAGAGCAGAAATCAACCCAGGGTGTCTTAAATAAATAAATAAATAAGCGAGCATAAAAAGATTCAGTTTCACATCTAGTTCCCGGCACTCGGCCCATGTCGCGATGACATTTTTTCTCACTGTAGGTCAGGCATGGGGGAGGAGCGGGGTGTTGAATTATGCACCATCCTTTCTTCTCCTGCAGCTAAAGCTGCCCTCGGTCCTGATGCCTGATGGGCTTACGTCCGCTGTGCAGCCCACATCACAGGACTGGCACGTAACGAGCAGCCCCTGCTTGAGAATGGCCGAGAGAGGATAGCAGGGAG